TATATATAAATATATATCTCTTTTTTTATTTTTTATACACATATATATATATATATATATATATATATATATATATATATATATATATATATATATATATATATATATATATATGAGCATGTTTGTATGTACAGTTGTGTTTAATAAATCATAATATAGACTAAAGACGAAAATTACGTTTTGAAAATAACTTTTAAGCAATATGTTATACTTGTCACTAAGCTCACATTTCTGTTTTTAAAAATAGTTTTTTATTGGTCTGATGTAATATTCTAAGTTTAAACGCCATGTTGTCAATAGTTGTAAGTGGAAAATCATCATAATTAACAGAAATAAAAGATTTTTCAAACACCCATCTGTTTGTAGGTAATCTATGAGCTACCTATGAATATTATTCTAATTTATTGAATAGAAATATATGTATGTATAGCCTGCCTCCAGACACTTTGACAAAGTGCAAAGTTGACTTTTAAGAGGAAAAAATCTCCTGTTGCAACAGAAACAATCAGAAAAGTACAGTTCTGGTTTGACTCATCCCTGGTTTCTAAAATCTGACAATCTTCTGCCCATTGGGACACAAATGCCTACCGGGTCTAACTATAATTTTTATAGTTTTGAAATGAGGCAGCAGGACGATGTTTTAGTAGTTATTTTTCAAGATATGTATTTTACGCCAAGGTGTCCTGCTGACAAATGAATCTTTATTTTTCTTAACCGGTCCAATCAAAGCCATCTTCCATACTATGGGCAAATTTGAAAAGTTGACTTTTTCAACTGGGGAACTCAAAGTTTCTACTGTTTTTCTGATAAACTGTATATTATAGTTTTATCACACATTTCTTTTTAGTAAATCTGAATAAAATGCAACAAAGGTGTGAAATAAGAAAAATTAGAGCTGTCCATCTATTACAAAATTTAGTCCAGTTAATCGCTCCTTGGCGCTGTGATTAATCACAATGATCCCTAACTTTAACTTTGTAAGCTTGAAATGTAAATATGCAAAAAATGCTTTAGTAAAAACCAAAGTGTCTGAAAGTTCTTGGTTTTCCAGGTTTTCATATTCAGGAAGACTCTTCTTGTCAGGTTACTACCAAAAGTAAAGGCCGGTACTGGTGTCGAATAAATTCTATGAAAAAATAAAAGCATCAAGAAGCCATTTGGTATTAGGGGGTAGGGTTAACTTCACATAACGAGAAATGCATTATGGGAGGAGGAGGAGCGCGACATGAAAACATAAATGTGCTGTGAAACGGCGCTCTGCTCAGACTGCCGGCTGAAGCTGAAGCCGTGCAGCGATGGAGGCTCAGGACGAAGCTGAACTCTGTTTCCCACAACTCCTCAACAGTTCCTGCAGGATGCCGAAGCTCCACTGGTCGGAGGCGATTCTCGGGAGCGTCGCCATGTCCTTCGTCTCTCTGCTCACCGCGGTGCTCAACCTGCTCGTCATCATCGCAGTCTCCCACTTCAGGCAGAGATCAACCTCTCAGGAGAACCTAGACTTGAAGTCTTTGAAACATTGATTTTATAAATGCGATGTTGACTTTGTATCATCTAAACTTTGAGTGTCTTGCGGGATAACTGTTGCTCTCCGTCTTCCCTCCAGGCAGCTCCACACCCCCACTAACATCCTCCTCCTCTCTCTGGCTGTGTCCGATTTCCTCGTCGGCCTGCTGCTGATGCCAGGAAAACTCTTTAGAAAAAACACCTGTTGGATGTTAGGGGATGTTTTATGCTCGCTTTATATTTATGTGATTGCTCTGATTATCTCCGTTTCTATCGGGAACATCGTTCTCATATCGATCGACCGCTACGTGGCCATCTGTGAGCCGCTGCAGTATCCCACCAGGATGACTCTGACGCGGGTCAAGTGCTGTGTCGGCCTGTGCTGGCTCTGCGGAGCTTTCTACCGGCTGCTCTTTCTGAAGGATGAACTGATTCAGCCGGGCAGGAACAAGTCCTGCGTCGGAGAATGTGCGTTTGTTACCAACTCTATCGCAGGACTTTTTGATCTTATTCTGAACTTTATTGCTCCGGTCACGGTCATCGTAGTGCTGTACACGAGAGTGTTCGTGGTGGCCGTGTCTCAGGCCCGAGCCGTGCGCTCTCGCGTCACGGCCGTCACGCTGCAGCTTTCGGTGAACGTCGTAACGAAGAAATCAGAGCTGAAAGCCGCCAGGACTCTCGGCGTGCTCATCGTTGTTTACCTTTTCTGCTTCTGTCCCTATTACTGTTACGCCCTCATAGAAAGGAATATCACCAACACTTTTTTGATCTTTTTGTTTTACTTTAACTCCTGCCTGAACCCTTTGCTTTATGCCCTGTTTTATCCCTGGTTTAGAAAAGCAATCAGACATATTGTCACTTTGCAGATTCTGCAGCAGGGCTCAAGTGAGACCAACATACTGTAGAGACTCGTGTGAAAAAAAAGAAAAATGGGAAAAAATTGGCCCTGACATACCAGAGGAAATGTGTGCATGCTGTGTCATCCCTAGTAAAAAAAAGTATACTTTAGTATATTAAATTTTAACATACTTTAGCATACTTTGATTTATGTACTTAAACTGTACTATATTGGAACAACTTTTTTGTGCTTAGTATATTTTAATAGTATTTAAATAGTATTAATTTACAATTTTTAGTATACTTCAACGTACTTTTTCGGAACAACTTCAAGTAGTACTTAGTATACTTTAAGTATACTTTTTTATGTGGTATTCAAGAGCTTGATTAGTATATTTTGAGTGTACTATTTCTGTTGTAGAATTATATTACAATATACTTTAAATACATTACTGAGATATCAGTAATGTATTTAAATTACACTTAATTTTTATTTTTGATTTATTGCTATTGCTAATTTAGTACAATTTTAAGTACTCATAAAAGTCATTTTTATTCCTACTTTCCAATTTTGTACATTACATGCATAACTACACTACAGTACTTACATTGTCTTAGGCTACAATTATATGGAAAG